GACCTTCTCAGCACCAAGAAGGTCGACAGCAGCAGCAGAGGCGACAGAGGGGAGGAGGGGGGAAGGGGAACACCCCTCAAAGAACGGGGTGCGGGGGTCGCCACGAGAGGTGCCTACAGCGACGATGCTCGCCTCAGCTGCAAGCAGTTCCTTCTCGAGGAGGGCAACAGTGAGCTCAGTGGGGGAGCGAGAGAGGAAGTGGTCCCTGACTGCGCGCAGAGAGTCAGGGAGGCGGGTGACGATGTGGTAGAGAGTGATCCAGAGTGGGGGGGGGTTGCTAGTGAGAAACTCGGCAGGCATAGCAGCGCGAAAGCGGGCCTCACTAGTCTTAAGGTGGGTGATGAGGTCTGCGACAGTGTGAAAGGAGGCTAGGTCGGGGAACAGGTAGGGGAGAGTGAGGCGGCCTAGCGTGGCAGAGGCGGGTGAGGAGTAGCGGGCAACTACAGCGGTGTAGAGGTCCTTAGCAGTCTTGCACTGGCCGAAGTGCTCGCGCTCGTCTAGCGGCAGGGAGTTGCGAATAGCAAAGCGAGCGTGCGCATCACGGGTCTGCCACTGGGAACGCAGAGTGCTGTCAGCAGACGAGTCAGGGGCAGTGGCATGGCCTAGGGCGTGGTCGTACAGTGAGATATCTTCCTTGGCAGTGAGCTGTAGGAACAGGTGCAGGTCATCTAGCCAGGTTTCGAACTTCACTGGACGGCCCTCGGCATCGAAAGCTAGAACGGGAGGACTAGCCATAGTGACAGTAGCAGTAGCAGTAGTAGTAGGAATCAGGCCGCTGGAAAGGTGTGCGGAGGGTCAACTGTCCGTAGTGGCACACGAGCGGCAGTAGTAGGTAGCGTGGCAGCAGGAGCTGCAACGGCAGTGTGCGCGGTAGGTAGCAAGTAAAAAACAGTGAGAGCGCGTGCCTCGCGGGCGGCGGCTGCAGAAGCGCACGGGCGGCAGCGGCGCACGGGGAACGGCGGTGCACGGGCAGCGGCGGCGCACGAGCAGCGGCAGCGTAGGGGCAGCGACGGCGCACGGGCAGCGGCGGCGCACAGGCAGCGGCGGCGCTCGGGAGGCAGCGGTGCGCAAGCAGCAGCGGCGTACGAGCAGTTGCGGGCAGCGGGGCGTGCGCGAGCAGGCGACGGGCGGCTGCGGGGCGTGTGCGAGCAGGCGACGGGCGGCTGCGGGGCGTGCGCGAGCGGCTGCAGGCAACGGGCGTGCGGTACGCGAGTGGCGCTGGCGGTGCGCGGGCCGGCAGCGGGCAGCACGCAGGCCGCGCGGGTGAAGTGCGGGCTGCGTGGGTCGGTAGCGGGCGGTGCGCGGGCCGTTAGGGGGGATCGCGGGGGTCGTAAGAGGCGCGGCGGGGTCGTAAGAGGCAGGCGCTAAGGGGCGGCGCGACGGGGCCGTGAGGGGCCTCTAGGTCAAATACGACGGGGCCGCGGGGCCTCTAGGCGGGGCTCGATCGACGGGGCCAGCGGGGCCGAAAAAAAAAAAAAAAAAAGTTAATAATAAAGCGCTCGAGGGCGCTACGGGGGAGGCGCTAAGAACGCGCTCCGGTAGTAGGTAGGTAGTAAGTAGGTAGGTAGGTAGGTAGGTGGGCCCTTAGGACGGTCCTAGCGAAGGACCTGCTCTGAAACCATGTCAAAAATAACAGACTGGAATGGTGAACTAGAATGGAATGTGAGTACAAATATGAAACCCTAACGCTGTGACCCCCTTATAGGCTAACCCACTACAGCCTACACAAATATAACATATACAATGTTTGACAGCAGTCATCTACGTGGAGCAGCCGCACACATACGGCGAAGGGGAATCGCGCATATGCCAACTGCGCAAGTCCCTTTACGTGATCAAGCAGGCACCAAGGCTGTAGCAACAGTATCGGCACAACATCCTGCTTGAAATCAGCTTCAAGCAGATGCCGCACGATCCTGGGATTTACCGCCGTGATTTTCGCGGCGAATACATCCTACTCACGGTCTACGTCGACGACCTGCTTTACACAGGATCGAGCAACGAACTACTCGAGCAGTTTGAGAAAAGTCTGGCGGGGCGCGTCGACATCGTGCAACTACGAGATGAAGCAGTTCTTAGGCCTAAACATCTCCTACGCGCTAGAAGCCATTCACCTTTCAGCGGCTAAGTACGCAGAGGAGTTAGAGAAGTGGTTCAACATTTCACCTGCACCACTCTCTACTCCCTACAGAACTCCCGGACCGAACCGCAAACCTGACAACAAAGCCCCATCCCTTGCTGGCATTCAGACTTACCAGCAGCAGTTGGGATGCCTGCTCTTCGCCTCTGTCACATGCAGGCCCGACCTCTCCTACATCGCAAGTCAGCTGGCCCAGTACTCACGCAAACCAACGGCTGAGAATCTTCTGGACCTGCAGCGCGCCCTACAGTTCTTCGTTTCAACGCCCAAGATTGGACTCTGCTACTCAACTGTGCCGACTCCATCTTTCAACCTCATCGGCTACGTGGACGCCGATCACGCAGCAGATCCCGATAATCGACGGTCCAAGACTGGCTTCCTGTTCCGACTCAAACCAACGGGACCGATCTCGTGGAATTCTAAAAAAAATGAGCTGGTTGCCCTGTCTTTCGTCAGCTGAAGCAGAATTCATCGCAGCAACCGCAGCAGTTCGCGAGGGCCTCTACCTGCAGGAACTTCTACAGGAAGCAAAAATTACAGCTTCGCCCACATTTCGCCTTCACTGCGACAACCAGAGCGCGATTCGCATCGCGAACAAACCTGGTTTCGTCAACCGCACCAAGCACATATCGCTGCGGTATTTCTTCGTCAAGGACGAAGTGGACAAAGGCAAGGTTGACTTGATCTATTGCCCGACAGGTGGCATGGCAGCAGATTTTCTCACCAAATGTCTGCCACGCCAGCAGTACCAACACTGCTCCGAACTCAGCGGAGTAGTCAAGCAGGTCAAGTCGAGCTACGGCCAGGAGTGAAGGGGGGTGTTACGAATAGTAATGAATGAAAACATTGCTGTGCACTCCCGACCGCAGCTAAGGAAGCATGCAGTTTCAAGAACGAATGCGAAGAGTCAGAACTGACTCGAAGCGTCAGACCGTTGGGGTGCATCTGGACCGTCGGAGCAGGCGGCATCGGGCAGCTGCAGGTAGGAGGATTTTGGCGGGAACAGTTTTGTAACTGTACGCGCCGCACGGTTGGGAATGAATTTGAATAAGGAAATGTACCCCTTAGAGTACATGGCTAGCTAGGCCGATTCGAATTCCCCTGTACTCTTATTTATATCGTTGTATTTGCATGTTTTAATTCATCTCAAGCATTTTACATTCACTCTGCTATTGAGGTCAAGGCGCACCAACACTATCTACCTGCGTGCGAACCTTCCCGAGTAGATCCTGGCAGCGATCATCTTGTTATCGCAGCACCCATCAATACGAAACTTTCCGACATGCTTTCTCAGCCACGTCAGACAATCCGCTTGACACGCACGAAAGATTCGTGTTTTGTAGGTTTCGGAGAGGCGGAAATCACCATACATTTTTTTTTATCGCGCATCAAACAAGGAAATATGCAATAAAAAAATCAAAAGAATCTGATATTCAAGTGTTTCGTACGAGTCTGATACAAGGTTGGCATGATAGGAGGCCATAGAAACACGCTCTTAGTACTTGGTAGAATTGGAGTGTGTTACGTACCTTAGTCTGTGCTGGTTGCCTCGACCGGCCAATTTTTAGTTTCAATATACTTCGGTTTCATGCGTTACTGTTTAGACCTATCGCGGCAATATACGGTGAAACTTGCTGGTTGCCTCGACCGTCGCTCGGTTGCCTCGACCAGCCACAAAAAAGTGGGATACGTAACACGCTCTTAGCCCCTCATGCTCTAGCGTACAGGAATGAGTTCTCATTAAATGTCATATCTCAACAAGGTTGTGCTCTTTTTAGAAAATTGGGGTTGTGTGTGATGTTGAGTAATCTCTGCAAACTGAAACTCCTTGCAAATTAGCTCAATTGTTTGTTGAAGTCTAGTAGTACCAACATTTCTCCCTTTCTAGGGCTTCCATTTCAATCACTGGTGGGGCTTTACAGTCACTGGTACATCGTATGCGGTCACGACCCAAATGAAAACCTAAGCTGGTGTGTCGTATGTGAGAGAAACATGGGCTGTACAGTAAACTCAGTTTACGTGCCCTAAGAGGCTTCGTTCGGTTGCCAAGCCAGACAGGTTCGGAAGCAGAGAGCCAGCGGTTGTTTGGCGGGAGGGTGTGTTTGGCCTAGTCGGTTCACTGCCTTTTCCTGCCAGCTCAGCCTGCTCGCGAACCAGTTGTGCTTGGTTGGGTGGGTGTTTGTTCTGACAAGCCTCCCCTTGCTCCCTCCCCTCCCGCCCCACTTCGCCCAAACCAACGCGCCCCTTGCTTTCTTCCTTTTACTCACTCTCTACTGTACAAGGCTACTTCCACCTCGACGTCACAACGCTCACATGCAAACAAACTTGCAACGGCGCTGTGAAACAGCAAGCTTTGCAAGCTGGAAGGTGACACCCGCTGCGCATAGAGGTGGCATCAGGTTACCAATCACAAGCTCATGGCGATGAGTTCCCCGAGGCGCGAGGCGCCTCGTGACTTACACCCCACATGCACGGAGCTCAACCTTGGAGCCGCTTTGAATGCGGCGGCAGGCGCGGCTGTTGGCAGAAGGACCTGGATGCACCAGGCTATGGCGCCCGTGCCGCGGAGGCCGTCGCGACGGATCTAAGGGTTGATGGGAGGAGCTGGGGTTGAGTCGAGCGGAGAGAGCGCGCGGTAGAAGAGCCAGAGCCTTTTAGGGCGGCGCCTTGCTTCCTCTCGCCGGCTCACTGCTCGAGCCTCAGCAGGCAGTGCAGACTCAGCGGCGGAGGTCGAGCCAAGGGGCGCGCGGAGCGGAGCCGAGCAGCGCGCCCAGTTGCGACCGCTTGGCGCACGGCGAGTGGGCGAGGCAACGGGCAGCGGTGGGCGATAGTAGGGGCAGCGGCAGGCAGGCGCGGCGGTATGATCCCCGACGTGAAGCTGCGGAGCTGGCTATCGCGCAAGGACCGCAAGGACGGCGCGGAGGACTCTCCGCGGGGCAGCGCCAGAGAGCCGTCCGGGAAAGGCAGGGAGAAGCAAGGTGGGGGGACGGGACTCGACAGACTGGGTGCAGTGGGTGCGGATGCCGCGCGCGGTAAGTCTGGCGCGGCGGCGGGCGAGCAAGCGGTGCCTTCAGCGGAGAGCGACGTGCCGCGCTCCGCCTCATCCGACGCGTCCTATGCGCGCAACCCGCGCGCCGACATTGCACGCGATATGCCGCCGGGGGGCGCGATGAGCCCTACGGACGAGGAGTTGGAGCGCGCTATGGCGGAGATGGGCTGCGCAGGCGGGGGGCTAGGGACGGGGGGAGGGAGTTCCGCGCAAGCAGGATCGCCGAGCGGGGCGGTGACTCCGCGATCACGGCGTGAGATATGGAAATGGCGGAGGAGTCGCACGACGGCGCTACCGGTGGGCGGCACGGTGGGCCGGGGGAACGCGGCCGCGCTGCGCGGGTGGCTGGACCGCGAGAGCTCCTTCGCCAGCTCCACCGGCGGAGAGTCCGCCAGCGGGGCCTCCGCCGTGGGCTCTGAGGGCACCGCGGGGGGCGGAGGAGCAGGAGGAGGGAAGAGGGAGGCGGAAGACGGCGGAGGGGAGCAGAACGGGGGAGGGGAGGCGGGTGCGGGGGGCGGGGCGGCAGGCAGCGGGTGGAAGCGGTGGCGGCTTTCGCGGCAGCTGGGGTTCGCGGCGGAGGACGTGCGGCTGATGCGCGAGTTCCTGGCGCACCGCGACGCGTGGGTGGCGCTGGAGGCGAGCCCGTCGACGCGCTTCTACGTCTTCGACTACATGCAGAGCGTCCGCTCTGGCGCTTACCCGCGCGTGCTCGCCGTGAGGCCTCACCCTCACCGCGCATGCATGCCGTGCCCCTCCATTTGACAACGCCTCCTCGTCACACACCCTCTTCCCTTCTTGCTGGAAACACCCCTGCCCCCTTCCCCCACCCCTTCCGTCGATTCCCCCACCCCTCTCCCCCAGTCCCCGCCCCTCCCTCCCCTCCCCCATTCTGTCGCGGCGCCTTGTTCTTTCTCCCCGCTGCCCCGTGCGAGCTGCTTTGTCGAGCTGCTGTCACCCATTCTTCCAACCCCGCGCACTCCACACCCCCCTCCCTCTCTCACCCCCATCCCCCCCTCCCCCTGCGCTATCCCCCTGGGCGGGCGCAGGCGTTCCGCGCAGTGGTGCGCGCGCACGGGCTGTCGGAGGCGGATCTGAAGAGCCAGAAGCGCGAGACGCTGCAGCTGCTGGCGCTGCTGTTCTCGCAGCACGACGGGCTGTGGCGCCTGCGCCGCCAGCAGCTGCTCGAACTCATCGTCGCGTCGCCCTTCTGGCTCGCGCCCGCCCAGGGAGAGGCGCTCGCGGACGACTGGGCGGAAGGGGCGGAAGGGGCGGAAGGGGCGGAAGGGGCGGAAGGGGCGGAAGGGGGAGAGGAGGGAGTGGCGGGGCGTGGCGTGGGAGGGGGCGTGGTGGTGCGAGAAGAGGGGCAGGGCGCGGAGGAGGAGGGGAAGGGGAACGGAATGATAGGGGAGGGCGGGGGCGGGAAGGAGGGTGGCGAGCGCGATGGTGGGAGCGGGGATGGGTCGACGAGAGCAGTGAGCGTGGCAGCAGATTCAGGTGCCGCACAGGGGGGGAATGAGGAAGGGGCTGGCGCAGAGAAGCAGGACGGCGGCACCGGGACCGTGGGGGACGCGGGCAGGGAGGGGCAAGGGGAAGTGGGGGTGGATGGGAAGCAAGCGCAGGGGGTGCGCGAGGAGGAGCAGGCGGTGGGGTCATCGGACGCGGGGCCTGAAGTGGTGGTGGCGCGTGTGGGCAGCAGTGCGCGTGCGGGCATGCAGGGGAGTGACGCCACGGACGGGGCAGTGGCAGGAGGAGGAGACGCGAGGGTGGGGGGTGCGGGGGAGGGCGCAGAGGCGAATGCGGGGCGGAGGGAGAAACTGCGAGGTCCAGGGGAGGGCACAGGGTCAGGGGCGGGGGGACGGGGCAGAGGAGCCGCGCCTATGCCATGGCCCGCGCCCCCTGCCCTGAGAGCCAGAGCAGAGGCGGGCGGCAATGAGGCCACAGCACCACAAGCCACCGGTGGCGCGGCTGCTGCTGCTGCTGGTGCTGCGAGTGATGGCGGCAGCGGGGCAGTGGCCAGGAGCAGCAGCAGTGGCAGCGGCGGCGGCGGTGGCGGGGGGAGCAGCGGCAGCGGAGGGGCGAGTGGGGGGGTGGCATCGGAGATGTACCGGCGCATGAGCAGCAGCTTCCTGCAGCGCGACAAGGAGCTGCTCTCCGCGTTCCTGCAGCGCGCGGCGCACTGGGACTCGCTGGCGCCGCGCACGCCCATGCACGCGCGCTTCCTGGCCACGGTGGAGGGGCTGCACGCGGGCGAGCGCGGCGAGCTGGCGCGCATGCGCGGCATCGTCATGGCGCAGCGCGATGCTGTGGACGTCGCTGACGTGCTCCGCCTCAACACCGGCGCCCTGCAGGTGCTGCTGGGGGGGTGGGGGGAGGGGAGGGAGTGACGGTGAGGGGTTGGGTAGGGGGAAGTGGTGCAGGGGCGGGCTTTCGAGAGGGCGCGTGGGGTGGTGGGCGTGGGAGGGCGTGGTTGTTAGGCGGCGAGCTGGTGGGCTTCTGGTGGTATCTGCTGGAGATGAGCAGCATGGGTGGCACGACACGATGACCTGCCAGTCGCATGTGCCCTGTCTCTCTGTTTACCCCACTGCCCTCCGCACCGTCCTACTTCCCATGCGCATCACTGCGCCCACCTTGTCCCTTTCCCCATGCCTCTGCCCACCCCATTCCCTCCCCTTCCTGTCCCCCTCCTTCCCCCCCCCACGCACACCCCTGGCAACCCCACCAGGTGCTAGCGGGGGTGCTGTCAGACACGCCCGTGCATGCGAGCACCCCACGTGACGACCTCATGGCCATCTGCCTCTCGCACGGCCCCTGGGTGCCGCCCACGCCCGCCACGCCCGCCACTCCCGGCAGCACGCGCTCGCGTCGCTCGCGCAGCAGGGGGTTCTCGCGTGGGGTGGGCGAGGCGTGGGACGAGGGCGCGGCGCGGCGCGCGGACGCCGTGGACGGCGGGGCCGTGGGCAGTGGCAGCGCGCGCATGGAGGGCGAGGGCGCGCGCGACAGGGGGGCAAGAAAGGGCAGAGCAGACAGAGAAGGGGAGTCGGGAGAAGGGGAGTACGGGGTGGGCGGGGGTGAGGAGGAAGGAGGTGGGGTGGGCCGTGGCGAAGGGGGAGGGAGCAGCAGGGGCAGCAGCAAGGAGGCGTTTGCGTATGGGGGCACGTGGGGTGGCAGCCGCAGCAAGGGCGCGGGCAAGAAGGGGACGCTGAGTCGCAAGCACAGGGCGGAGCTGGAGAAGCTGAGGCAGGAGGTGCGCATGATTGAGGAGAAGGCCAAGCTCAAGAAACTCATGCTCGAAGGCACTCCCCCCGATCACCCCTCCGCCTCCACTGCCGCCGCTGCCACTGCTCCTCATGCTGCTGCTGCTGCTGCTGCTGCTGCTGGTGGTGGTGGTGGTGCTGCTGCTGCTACTGCTGCTGCTGGTGCCTCAGTTGCCAGTGATGCTGGTGGCAGTGCGGTTGGGGTTGACGCACGGGACAGGGATAGCAGTGGCAGGAGTTTGCGCAGGAGTGCGAGTAGAGGATCCAGGTCTTTCTCTCACAGGGACCACCACACTGCTCTCGCTGCTGCCAATGCTGCTGCTGCTGCTCCACCTCCCAGTGCTGCCAGTGCGGCTCCACCTCCCTCTGCCTCCCCTGAACCTGCATCCGAACCATCTACAGCCTCTCCTGATGCCCATTCCACCCTAGCACATGAGCAGCATGGCGCTGACATCACCTCCTCCCCTGAATCCGCCGCCACAGCTACACCGTCACCTCTGCTGGGGTCATCCCCCTCTGACGCGCCCAGCTTCCGATCCATGCTGTCCCCTGCTGCCCTGCCCGCCCCCCTGCACGCCCACACCCACGACAGCCTTCACGACAGCCGGCAAAGTGGCGCTGCTGATGCCGTTGCGCTCTGCCCTACTGCCCCTGCTGCCGGCAGTGAGGGAATGCCTGATGCATCTGCTGCACCCTCCACCACCGCCACTGCTCCAGCACCTTCAGTCTACGCTGCTCTCACTCTGCCTGACTCCGCGGCCACTGCCACTACCACCACCACCACCACCACCACCACCACCAGCAGCAGCAGCAGCAGCAGCAGCAGCAGCAGCAGCAGCAGCAGCGGCGCGCTCACAGCAGGCGCCGGCAGCGGGCAGGAGTGGAGTGGAGCGGGAGGCGGCGGCAGTAGGGGAGTGCGCGCGTGGCACAGGCAGCCCATGACGCCCAACCTGGGCGCGTCCTCACGGCGCCTGCGCCCGCTGGCGTTCCTGCGCGGGGACGATGGCGAGCAGGGCTGGGCGGGCGAGGACGTGCACGTGCGCAGCCCGGGGTCCCAGGGCGCCATGGGGCTCGCCGCTCTGCCCCAGGATGAGGGCGAGCGGCAGGGTAGTAGGGGCCGCGGGGCGTCACGAATGCGCGAGAGGGGGCGCAGGGAGCGCGTGGTGCTGGGGGGCGGGGAGATGGATGGGGAGGGCGGCGTGGGGGAGGGCGCCGAGTGGGACGCGGAGGAGGGAGGTGAGGATGGTGGAGATAGGAGTGCGGGGAGTGAAGGGGGTGTGAGGAGAGTAGAGGAGCAGTATGGGAGGGGTGTGTTGGTGAACGGAGGTGGTATTGCAGAGGAAGATGAGGAGGGGGAGGAGGAAGAGGGGGGGAAGGAGGAAGAGGGGGGAGAGGAGGAGGGGGAGGAGGGGGTGGAGGAGGGAGGAGGCGGGATGGAGGAAGGAGGGGTTGAGGAGGAGGATGAACAGGAGCAAGAAGTATATGAAGAATTGGAGGAAGGGGGAGAGGAAGTAGAGCAAGGTGAGGGATTTGACGAGGAAGAGGTGGTGGGGGAGGAAGCGGAGGAAGAAGAGGGAGTGGGAGCGGAAGAAGGGGTAGAAGAGGGAGTGGAGGAAGAGGGGGCAGATAAAAAAGTGGAGGAAGGAGAGGAGGGCGATGAGGGGACGCTAGCAGCGGAGATGGATGATGCTGCCGCACGGTTCTTTGACTCACGCGGCGACGCAGGGGTGTGGCAGGGCATAGGAGCGACGGCCGCACCGGCAGCCGGGGAGCTAGCGAGGCGATGGAAGAAGGGCAAAGAGCGGGCGTCCCAGCAAGCGCGCAGGCGCGGGGGAGGTGGGGGGGCGGACGAGGAGCAGCAGAGGGAGGCGGAGGATGCGGAGGCACTGCTGTCGGCGGCGGCGGCATCAGGAGCGGGCAGGAGGAAGGGGCTGGGGCGAGGCCACATGGACCCCGAGCCCAGTGCCACGCTGCTGCTGCGCCGCTTCAAGGCCAGAGAAGGCCTTCCCGGTGGTGCAGAGGGCGCTGCCAGTGGCACGCCCACGTACGCTGCAGCAACCCCTGACAGCTCCCATGATGACCTCACAGACGGCTCCCACTCCCACGCACATGCACCGCAGCCATCAGCATCAGCAGCAGCAGGATCAGCAGCGCAGGCGTCGTCGCACGCGGTGCACCACGCGGCGTCGCCGTCCTTCTCATCACTCACGGTGGCCATCCCCCGAGCGCCGCTGGGGTCGTCTGACCTGGCCCAGCACTCCCTGTCCCACGCCAGCCCTGCCTCTCATGCCAGCCCGTACGCGCGCAGCCCGTACCACGCCAGCCCCTCGTCCCAGGGCAGCCCCAGCCACTCCAGCGCCTCCTCCTCCCAGGCCAGCCCCCCTCAAGGCAAGACCCACCGCCACCACCACAACCACCACCACCACCCTCCGCAACCCCCACAGCAGCAGCAGGGTCAGCACAGTAGTTCCCTGCACGGCCCGTCTCGGCTCTCCCCCACAGGGTACTCCGCGGGCAGTGCAGCAGGGCAGGGGGGAGCGCGGCAAGGGGGCGGTGGGCCAGCAGATGGCGCGGACGAGATGGATGAGGTGAGCCGCCTGGAGCACGAGGCGCTGCTGCGCTTCTCATCCGGTGCACGGCAGCTGGAGGTGCAGGCGGACAGGGAGAGGCACGCCGTCGACGTCGCAGAGGCCCGCGTCGCCTCCGCTCTCGAGCGCCTTGAGGCCGCCCGCCGCGCCGTGGCTGAGGAGAAGGCCCGGCGCGCGGCGGCAGTGGCTCGGTGGAAGGGGGCGATGATGGCGGTGGAGGATGGCAGCGAGCTGATGGAGGAGGCGTGCGCCGTGGTCAGGCGCAAGGCCGACGAGTGCAGAGACGCGTGGCGGCGCCACGTGGAGTCCACACAGCGGCTGACCTCGGGGGGCAGCACGCCGGGGGGCACGACACGCAAGAAGATGAACCGCATGCGGCAGGAGGAGTTTGAGCGCGCGGCACGCACGCATGAGGAGTTCCTGCGGCTGTGGGAGGAGCTGGAGGCGCTGTGCAAGCCCAGCCTGCAGGCTGCCGTGCAGCGCCTGGCCAGTGGGTCGCTGCATGTGGATGGGGACACGGGCGAGTTCAGCATGCAGGCACCCACCAGCAAGGGCAGGAGTAGAGGCCGCGACAAGCTCAAATAACAGAGACTCGGAGGCCAAGGGGCAAGCACACTGGCAAGATCACTGAGAGTGCATCCATAGGGGCTGAGCCACTCCCACCTCAGTGCTCTCACCGTTCCGCTCCCCCACAATCTCCCTCTGTGCATGCTCTCTGTGGCCCTCTCGGCCTCTCTCCACCATTTGTGATCGGATCCTTCCACTCAGGACGGTTCATTTGGGTCTAGTGAGTAGTTCAATGCATACGCCCTACTACTGTAAGTTGACACAGTGCTGACGAGGGATCTAGGACTGTCCTGTAGAGTAGATGTACGTAGGTCTCTTAACACTAACATAGTGATGGCACTAATCGCAATTTTCAGTCATGAAGGGAACACAGCATGCGTGACTGTGATTTGCCGTTCAGCTGGTGCCTGTGCATGACTCCACATACAGTAAAGGCAGTCACCAGAGATTTCATATCCTTAGTTAAACTTTCTTCACCTGTACAGTGGCCAATATTTGCATGTGATGGTGCTGTAAGGAATTTTTCGGATTCCTTACTGGGTCACTCTGTACGCGTACAACCCCGACTTTCGGAAAACCAGGCTCGGTCCGCCGACCTCGCCTTCCGAGCCACTACCGCGTCGCCTTCGGGTTTCCCAACCCCGAACCTGCACCCAACCATCTCGCGACCCCGCGACCTCGGCCTAGCTAGCCTTGCTATATTGTGCCTAGGCCTCGTTGTTCATTCAGACGTTGTAATCACTTCCGCGTTATTGAATTCTGCGCACTCTTTTCATTCACAACTCATAACACTTGGTATCAGAGCCTAATTTCCTAGGTTACCCTCGCGTTTCCGGGGTAGTTTGTAGAAGGGGAGCGATAGACTTGGTGGGCTGTTAAGCGGTCGGCCCGTGGAATAGATCTGATTATTCCACTCCGACTACGATAGCATTAACGCCTTCACCAGGTCAGAAAAATCGCGAACCACCCCCTGCCCGTTAGACGAAGCCTGCGACACATGGACCAGGCGGAGTTCAACGAGTTCATGCAACAGTTCCGGGAGATGCAGGCCACCATGCAGACTATGTCTGCAGAAATGGAGCGTCTCCAGAAGGAAAACGCCGAACTACACCAGGCGCGTGGTGAAGCGCGCCAGGAGTCGCCTGTCGTGGACGACGCAAGTAGCAGCACTGCACCGGAGGAGCGGCTCTGGGACGAGTTGGAAGGCGATATAAGTGCGGATGAAGCGAGGCAGGCGCAGCAGCAACAGTCACCGCAACAGTCGCAAGCAGCACCGACACGTGTAGCAGCGACAACGACGGCGACACCAGCAGCGATGCCAACGGCCCCGACGCCAACAACGGCCTTCGTTAAAATCAAGCCGACAAACCCGCCCCCGTTTAACCCAAGTGACAAGTTCGTCACTGTTTCTGCATGGTTGTTCGGCGTGGAGGTGTTTTTTAATGCTGCCATGATTTATGACGATGCCACCCGCATTAATTTCGCAGTTTCACTGTTGCGAGGGCCTGCGCTGGAGTGGTGGAGGCGAACGCTGCAACACGAAGGGACTTCGGCAGGAACAGCACGTGCGAACGACGGGACTTCAACACCTGTCACGCATCAGGCAACATCAATCTTCGGGACGGCCACGATACGCACATGGAAGGAGTGGGGCGCCGCCTTGCGAACCAGATTCGAGCACATATCCGCCTCGGATTCTGCTCGCATGCAGCTGCGTACCTGGAAGCAGTTGGCTTCGGTCCAAGACTACACCAGCAAATTCTGCAACTTGGCGGACCAAGTGGACGACATGAGCGATGCGGAGCGGTTGGATCGCTACGTGGCGGGCCTGAAATACGAGATACAGTACGAGGTCCGACGAACCCGGCCACGCAGCTTCAACGACGCCGTCCGGGAAGCCGAGTCAACGGATGCGCTGATGCAGTGGGAGGGCCCTCTTTTTCGTGGATCGACCCAGCAGCCCACGATCAACGGCGTGGATGCACCAAGCCGAGCCCTTGGGCCGTGCTTTCAATGCAACCAGCTGGGCCACCTGAAGAAAGACTGCCCGAGGCTTAAGCAGGGGAAGAAGAACGACGGAGAAGGGTCGGGAAAAGATGTGAGTCAGTAGCAGAAGGGCCACCTACTGACGAGACCCTGTCGCCCGACAATCACCATCCACACCGGGTCGTGGTACCGATCAGAGCTATCGACCAGAACCGGACGAATAACGTGGGTGAACACGTGGACTACCCTGTGCTGGTGGTGGGGAGGGTTAACGGTTATAAAATAAAAATATTCGTTGACGGTGGGGCGAGCCACAGTCTCGTCAACCTGGCAATGGCAAAAAAAATAGGGGTGAAGCTAACCATGTGTCTGCCGGAGATCGATGCAAGGCTGGTGGATGGGACACCGCTGGCCATCCGAGATGAAGCGCGAAGAATTCGGATACAGTGCGGCGACAAATTCGGGTTTGGCATGAAGATGTTGGCGACGACGTTGGACGGCTGCGATGTGCTGCTGGGGAGGGATTGGCTGCAGCGCTTCAATCCGACGATCGACTGGACGACTGGGGCGTGCGTCGTGCGAGGATACGGAGGAAAGACGACGCTTCGAAAATGGATGGAGCCGGAGGGGTGACGACACGTGTCAACGCGGTCAACATGCAGCGTGCGATGAACAGCGGAGCTCAGACCTTCTTGGTGCACCTGTACGAGGTGGCAGCTTCCGAGAAAATCGCGGACATCGACACCCTCTGCGCAGCAGTCCCCGAGGAATTGGCGAGCATCATTCGGAAGTATCCCGAAATTTTCGCGGATGACCTCCCGGATGGCTTGCCCCCCCAACGACCTGAGGATCATCGGATCCAGCTGGAGCCAGGAGCGCAACCTACTGTACGGTCACAGTGGCGGCTCAGCCAACCAGAGCTCGCCAAGTTGGGGCACAGCTGGATTATCTGCTTGCCAAGGGCTTCATCCGGCCAAGCACGTCGCCGTATGCAGCGCCGATACTGTTCACGCCGAAGAAGGACGAGGGCCTACGAAAGTGCATTGATTATCGGGCGCTGAATCGGGTCACGATAAAATCGCGTTACCCGATCCCGCGAACTGACGATCTGCTGGATCAACTTCGCGGAGCTCGGTATTTTTCGAAGATCGACTTGCGAGGAGGCTACCACCAAATTCGCGTGTTCGCCGACGACTGCCCAAAGACCGCATTTCGCACACGCTACGGCAGCTACGAGTTCACAGTGATGCCGTTCGGTCTGACAAACGCGCCCTCGACGTTCCAGCTCACCATGAACGGGATTTTTCGGGACATGCTGGACAAAAAAGTCATCGTGTATCTAGACGACATTCTGGTGTACAGCGCGACAAAAGAGGACCATCTGCGGGATTTAGAGGAGGTGTTCCGGCGTTTACAGGGGCATCGGCTCATTACGAAGGGGTCTAAGTGCGAGTTCCTAAAGCCGGAGTTAGAGTTTTTAGGCCATGTGGTTTCTGGCGAAGGGATTAATGTCAAACATTATATGTTTATATGATTGTAGGCAGTAGTGGGTGATACCTTAGGGGGTACACTGGATTAGGGTTTCCTATTTGTATCCATCCTTCTGTTAGTACAGTCATTCCAGTCCGTTATTACTGACATGGTTTCAGAGCAGGTCCTTCGCTAGGACCGTTCTTAGGGCCCACCGTTACCTACATACCTACCTACCTACTGTGCGCCTCGTGCGCCTACGCGCCCTCGTGCGCCTCCTACCTACCGCGCGCGCGCAGCCCGCCAACCGCCCGCGCGCGACTCGATTTCTTTTTTTTTTAGCGCGCGTATCCCGCTACCCGCCCGCGCGCGGTCGATTTCGCTGCGCGCGCCCCGCTAGCCGCACGCGCGCGGCTGTTTTTCTTTACGCGCGGCCCCGCACGCTGCCCGCGCGCTGCCTGTGCGCCTCGCTGACGCGCCCGCTGCTGCAGCCGCCCGTCGCCCGCTCGCGCGCACCCCGCCGTGGCCCCGCAGGCCCGCAGCTCGCCGCCGCAGCTGCCGCACGCCCGTTGCCCGCAGCCGCCCGTCCGCCGACGCCGCTGCCGCCCGTGCACCGACGCCGCTGCCACCCGTGCGCTGCTGCCGCTGCTGCTTGCGCACCGCTCGCTGCTGCAGCCGCCCGTGCGCTGTCGGCGCTGCTGCCCGTGCGCATAAGCCGCTGCCGCCCGTGCGCCTTTGCAGCCGCCGCCCGCGAGTCGCCCGCTACCGCTAGTGCGCCGCAGGCCAGCAGCCGCTGCCGCTCGCGCACGCCCCGCAGGCCCGCAGCCCGCCGTCGCAGCGGCCGCCCGCCCGCAGCCGCTCGTCGCCTGCGCTTCTGCAGCCGCTGCCCGCGAGGCACTCGATCTCACTGCTGTTTCTTTTCTACCTACCGCGCACACTGCTACCCCTGCAGCTGCCACCAGTGCGCCGTTGCAGCTCCTGCTGCCACGCTTCCTACTACTACTGTTACTACTGCCACTACTACTACTGCTACTGTCACTATGGCTAGTCCGCCAGTTCTAGCTTTCGATGCCGAGGGCCGTCCAGTGAAGTTCGAAACCTGGCTCGATGACCTGCACCTGTTCCTACAGCTCACTGCCAAGGAAGATATCTCACTGTACGACCATGCCCTAGGCCATGCCGCTGCCCCTGACTCGTCTGCTGACAGCACTCTGCGTTCCCAGTGGCAGACCCGTGATGCGCACGCTCGCTTTGCTATTCGCAACTCCCTGCCGCTAGACGAGCGCGAGCACTTCGGCCAGTGCAAGACTGCTAAGGACCTCTACACCGCTGTAGTTGCCCGCTACTCCTCACCCGCTTCTGCCACGCTAGGCCGCCTCACTCTCCCCTACCTGTTCCCCGACCTAGCCTCCTTTCACACTGTCGCAGACCTCATCACCCACCTTAAGACTAGTGAGGCCCGCTTTCGCGCTGCTATGCCTGCCGAGTTTCTCACTAGCAACCCCCCCCCGCTCTGGATCACTCTCTACCACATCGTCACCCGCCTCCCTGACTCTCTGCGC